GGAAAAGTGGGGGTCGTCTTGTACATGGGGGCGTCTTATTGATGGAAAAATACGGTACTATAACTAAACAAGCTGCGCTCTGAATGGGTTTCTTTTTTACTGACATTCTGCTGTGCAGAACTACAAGTTTGATTAGAGGGGGGCTGGTGGAATAAAAAAAAAAATGGCCCTCCAGAGTTGCTGAACTATTATTCCCAAGTGCCCACCAGTATGGCCATATCAGCATCTGAAAAAGCTGCAGACAAGTTTTTTTTTTTTTTGTACAGGGATTGTTTACAGATTAAAACTGTAGCACCTTTACTATCCATAAGGAAGTGGGTTATGTGTGTATGTGTTGCAAGGAGGGGAGGATTTATGCTACCCTTGATAAAAATGCTACTGCAAGAGTGAACATGAATATTTGATATCAAGTTTTGGTTTTCAGTTTTATGAAATTTATGACCCTTCATGGTGTCATAAATTGCTCTTTTTGCCACTTCCCATTGTGGAAAAGGATAGTCATTTACACCAAGTCAGAGTTCTCCTATTTGGTATAGTCAGTACCCTTAGCCGGATACAAGTCAGAATTGACTTTTTTGTACTAAAACTAATCCACAGTGGAAAGATGAGAGGGAAGAAGTGTTTAATCCTATTATTTATTCCTATTTTTGATCCAGGTTTCCTGAACTGTGAGTTATGATCATCCAACTGGGCTGTTGTTTCTAAATTGTGCAGTGAAATATGCTGATAATGTTTTGTGAACCATGTCCATTTATATTTGCTGATGGTTCTTATAAAGAACCACATGAAAATATCCAAATAGTTCATTCAATCTGTTCCTTTTTTATGACTTGACTTGTTTTTAAAATTATAATTGCTTTGATGTTTTATATTAAACACAAACAAAACATACTGTGAACATTTATAAAAATAATTTAACTGTCAGCAGTCAGACAGATGACAAAAGAGAAGCAGGCTAATTTTTCAAGCATTGTACTTTCATGGAATATGTGACAATATCTGTTAATTGACAATATTTTATAGATGAATATCCTAAGTAGCATATTCAGTATTCAAAACAGATAAGGAATGATAGAACAAGGAAGCACAATCAGTGGACCCACAATGCCTTGAATACGCTCCCCAGATACTCTCCAAATGGGGATATTTTTAAATACAATGAGAGCAATCATTTAAACTGTATGAATTTACTTTTAATTCAGTTAAAATTAAATTTAGATTTTTGTTATGTTCCATCCACTTTCTGGAATGCAGCCTTCATGTTTGTAACTCTAAGTCCAAGCATGATTTTGACACCAAAAGATTATACTTCCTGCCTAGAGTTACCCTGGTAATTAAGGCAGCATGCTAATCAATCAATCAATAACACATCCACTTACTTATCCTGGCAATAGTATGGAAGCATCTTCAGGATGTTTTTTTCAACCTTCCAGTCTAGGCTATAATTTTGGGATTTCCTGGTAGGCTTCATCCAAATATTAAACTGGTTTCACTCTGCTGTGTGTTGCGCCCAAATGGTAAGTCAAATTAAAGTCCTGGCAACTATCTGAAAATAGTTATTTGTTTGTTTTTACATCAGTGTGGTTTTGGTTTGCTCTGCTTGCTTCTGGGATATCTTTTTTTCTGGTACCCTTGGGATTTTCCAGTGGTCTCATATCCCAGTCTGACCCTGCTTAGCTTTTTCAAAATCAGCCAAGTATGGCTGGGCTGCTACCTGCTTTCAGAGTTCTGAAAAATCTTAGCAAATGAAAGAGTGCTGAATGAGAAAGAACTAAATAAGTTTAACAAAGTTTTGTAGAACTGAAGTGTGACAGTCTGAATGTTTGGTGATGAGATATGCATATTTTAATGTGTGGGCAGTTTAGGAGACATCACAGTCAACAGTTTGGAGGCAGATTCAGATATTGTGAAAAACTCTGCTTTAAAACAAGCAATGGCTGCAGTGGTGCATTATGCTTGCACGGGGCCTTAGGCAAAATAAAATTTAGGCCCCCCAATTTCCACTAATAATGTATCACAGATAATATTTAAACAATTTACAACAAATGATTGTCTGCTTCTTAATTGCACATCTTGTTGACAATAAATTGTTAATATCTTTACAAACAATACCGTTTTATTTAAAAAAAAGTCTGTACTTGTCTGGTTAAAAAAGACACCAAATCACAATACGTCATGGAGAAATATAATTCTATCACTTTATGCACATAGATATTTAATATTTCGTATATACATACACCAGTATGGTTTTACATTTAGACCCTCCTTTTTGTACGCATAAAATGGTATGGTCTGATCATGCATGCCGGTGAATCTTCTATTGGTTGTCGGGCCATTAAAAATTCAACTAATAATTGTGGATCATAGGGCAGAGTTGGCACAGGCACACGGAGGCTGTGCTAACCTGAGGCCCCAGAGGTTGCTTCCAGAAATCCCTGTTGATTCAGGAAAGCAGAGATGCCCGCCAGAGGTGTACATGTGGCCAGATAGAGATGGTGGAATGGCAAAACAGTTTTCTAAAAATGTGATTTTGGGACCTCCTTTTTTGTGTACAGCAGGTTTTTCAATCTTAGCAACTTTAAGAAGTCTGAACTTCAACTTGTCCAGACTTCTTAAGGTTGCCAAGGTTGAAAAACACTGGGCTGTGGTACAACGTCTGTCTGAATGGATGCTTCCACACACTTGAGGAGTGTGGAGATGTGAGCTCGAGGATTGCTGCCGTTTAGCACATAATTCAAGTGACATCTGACTGTTTTGGATTATTGCGATGTATAGTTATGTGGCTAATTTTGAAGGTCTTTGAAAACTGCAATTAATCTCAGATGCTGTTGCAGGCATGTCAGTGACTATTTATGCGCAGGACCATACAGCACCTGTTTCACAAAGTCTGTGCCTGTTATTACCTTCTTTCTAGACATAATTGAAAATGTTGCTACGGAGCTTTTAAGCTCTAAAGGGCTTAAGCTGTAGATATGTAGGAATGCCTCTTCCTATTAGAATCCCCCTTGCATCCTGCAAACTGCTTGAGAGACCTGCTTTTATTATATATCCCTTAGTAACGTTTTTTCTTGTATTTAAATGTATTAGTTTTAACTATTTGTAGCCTTTCTAAAGATATTTTTATGAAGATAAGTAATCGTAAAGCAGGAGTCACAACACAGTGCCAAAGCAATATTTCTTCTCCAGAACAGTGTTCACAAACTTC